CTTGGCGATGGGCCTGTTCAACTCGTAGGTGTTTTTTAAAAAACTCAAAAAAACCCTCAAAAATTTTTTGAACCACATTTTTCTTATTTTGTATGCATTTTAGAAACTTTTCTTTTCGACCATAATTGTAGAGGGCGTTGAGTACTACAATTTATTGCAATCTCGTACAACAAAAAATGCGCATTGTAGGTGGCGCTAAAGTCTCAAAAAAAGTGTTTTTTCACTTTTTCACCCTGAAAATATCATTTTAATGGAAAACTTTAAATGACAAAGTTGTTCCGTACATAATTACCAACAACTCTTGTATAAACATTTTTTTTGTATTACTTGCTTTATTTAATATTGTGTTTATTGCGCTTTGGCAACACCTGTGAGGCAGCGAATTCACAGCGAGCCACCAAATTCACAACGAGCTAGCTATAGTAATCGGAGCAAATTCCGTTCAACCACTCTTGGGACAGAATCGAGTGCCGAAGTCACGTGCATACATTGTGTCATGCAGGTGTATACGGATATTCTAACATTTTTTAATAGTAAACGGAATTAAATACTTTTTTTAGAAGGGATTTTATAAGTAAGAAGTATTTCTGTTCGCTTGTGGAATTCATTACCGGAATCCATTCGAAGGGCTCGCACTCTGGACTCGTTCCGTGAGCAAGTTAAGCGTCATTTCCTATCCTTATTTTGAAAATACCTCTTTCCATTATTATTTGTTTATTTTTATTTTTTTAATATAAATATGCATCTTTATTATTATTACCTTTTTTATTTTATTTCATAATATTGCTCTTACACCCTTCCCCCTTATTTGTTCTGATATACTTATTTAATTTTCCGTCATGGGTTGCCTGGAAGGGATTGCTATTAAGCAATAAGGCCGCCCATTGTGTAATGTCTCTCTGTCAGTGTAATCTTACTGTTATGTCCTTTGTGGTGTTATACAATAAAGAATATATTATTATTACTATTTTATAAGACACATAAATAAATGATCTAATTAAATAAATATACTGAAAAAATGAAAGAAATATAAGGATTTATCTCCTGAGGCACGTAGGTCCTCGAATCAATAGATTTTTGCATATCCATCCGATCTCATAATATTGCAAGTTGATTATGTATCTCCTAATAAGCCCATGTAAAACGCACTTACCACTGTGCCATCTAGCTTCTCATTATAATAATGATAATAATCATCAGCCCAATAATGTCCTGACTGAAGGGACACAGCTCTTTCCTATAGTTGGTATAGTGAGACTGGGTCGTAACCCACCACTAAAGTCTGCAGATGTAGCGGGAACCAACGGACTAACGTGCCTTCTTAAGCACGGAGGAGCACTAAATAATAAGTTTTAAGTCAGCCATCCAATAACCGACCATAGCGAAAGTTGCTTAACTTTTACGATCGCAAGTAGAATGCGCTAACCACCTGCGCCATCGATCTCCTTTATAACAAAACAACACCAATAATCATTTGAATTCGTAGATACTACAGGCGATTCTACAATGCAATATCTGGAATCTACCACGGAATTCAATCACGCCATTTTGACAAATGCATCCAGCCAGACAGTTATGCGCTACAGCCGTTAGGATTCAGTCACATGAGTAAAGAAAGCACAGAGGCAGTTTCATGCAGAGCACCTGCACGTGTGTGTGTGAGCACTGCCGCCTGTCGTATACGCAGAAAAGCGTTTCTATTGGCGGCGACAGGCATCCAGTTCTCACACACACGCGCGCACTGCAAGAAGCTTTGCCCCTGTGCCTTTTAAGGGTTCCGTACCCAAAGACCAAAAACGAAACCCTATTGCTGTCACTCTGTCGCCTATCTGCCTGTCTGTCGGTTTGTAGATCGTAAGCGGAATGAGTTACAGAACTGAAATTTTGGTATTTTATGTACGAACCAATATCGAATTCGTAACGTTTGCGAGTACGAATTGTCACTGTCAAATGTGTACTAAGTTTTAGTTCTCGTTACGTACATTGTGCCGCTGCTGTTCAAGTTTCCATACAAAATTTGACTGTCAATGTCAAATTGTCAATGTCAATGTCAAATTTTGTATGGAAAATTGAACAGCAGCGCCGCAATGAACGTAACGAGAACTAAAAATCAGTACACATTTGACAATGACATTTCGTACTCGTAAACGTTGAAAATTCGATATTAGTTCGTGCTAAGGGTACAGTTGCACATTCTACGGATACGTGACGCGAGCACACACACAGCCCAGCTGGGAATAGTGAGGTGTAATAATTTCGGATCCCACCGGTGTATTCCCGAATACAATACGTACGATATTGAACGTGGGATAAATCTACTCCGTTATCTAGTGTTATGCTTTTAATGCATTTTTTATATTGCAGGTTTGTAAATATCCCTAGAGGTACTCACCTCTATCTCTCACCTTCAATAAGAAGTGAATTAAATGAGGGTTAACAGAAGACAAATAATATTATTGAATTTAGTATGAAGAAAATTTATTGTGTAATTGAAAAAAGTTTTTAATAGAGTCCCAATAAAAATAAAATAAAATACATAAAAGAACACACCAGAGACCCACGGGACTCGTATTTCCTAGAAACCCAGTAATGAAGATGAAGAAGATGAACCTCATGTAAATATGGTACTAGAATTTCCTGGTACTACAGACATGTATGGCGTACTATTCAATTCTATCTAGAATGCCTGATTCCTATCAACAGAAAGATGAAAAAGAGGTCAATAATAATGAATTTTAGTAATTATTATTGAAAATTGGTAAAACCGGTAATGGCAGTCATATGCATAAGGAAAAATGTTTTCTCTTTCAGGTGTCAAAGAATGTAGAGTTGAATGTTTTGGTAAAAAAATACACAGAAAAAAAATACTGATATTGAAATGTTTTAATAAAAATAAAGTTAGTAAATGTTAGTAGGTATACAATGCCGATAATTTCACAACACTATGGTTTAGTTAGGTCACGTCAGTATGGGGACCAATAATTTCATCGGCTGTACTTGTTGCTTGGTTTGTTTAAGTTATAAAAAGTACGTCAGAAACAGTCAAATATTAACTTGAGGACAAACCGTGAAATCTCGATGTGAGGCAATCCCTGTTTAAGAGGAGAGATATTTTAAAAATTTTCTTACTTTAACAGTTTCATTTTCAATTTTGATTAAAAATATATTTTTCTTATTATCTGAATATGTAGCTGGTTCCAATCTGCCGCAACGAAATATTTTGAAGTATTAAAGTTGAGAAAATATTTCACTCATAAATAAATGCGTAAAATAGCACAAGCTCATTTGAAAAATTCACATTTTAATCAAAGGAACCCTTATCACTGTCCGTGAGAATGAACGACCAGACCAAGATATTGTCACTGTTACTAAACATGGACTAAAAGATAATTGAAAAACGTCACATATAACTGCTCCGACATCATAGTATGCATCTGAAGCACTTGTGTTAACGAAATCAGAAACAATAAAGATAAAATAGTACCCGACGGCTGAAAAATCTGGTGCCTAACAGGTAGCGACATCATTAAAGATGAGTAAACCACTGAATCCGCATATAAAACATTTAGTTACTAATGTTAATGATTTCTTCACTGTCATGCATAACACGCATATAAAACATTTAGTTACTAATGTTAATGATTTCTTTACTGCCATCCTAGTGAGAATGCAGGAAGAGTTCCGACATGATTTCGATAAAATGTCTTTTAAAGATAAAACATTAAAAGCCAATTTCTCAAATCATGTCAGGGGTCTTACTACATTCTTCACTACGACGGCAGTTTTATAAGCCTACAAATTCAACTAAAGACCTCTGATAATAAATATCAAGAATCTAAAGAATACTCATTTGTAAAGGAAACTTCCAGTTAGTAACATTAACTACGAACCAATTATTATGTATAACGTACGACAGTAAAGGAGAATAAATACTAATAACAGCAAAGAAATTTATGTGAACCTCTCCAATTAAAACTGCTATTAAAACACTAACACTCAATGACATATAATTGAGGAAACCGAGGGCCGCTACATTATTAGTCTACAGTGTACACACATAAATGAGTATTTTCCGTTTTCAACATTGAAATATTTATTCACTTTGATTTCTTCAAACTCAAACGTTTCCTTCATAAAATTTGAATGCATCCTCCAATTTAGAGTGTTTTAATAGATTTTTAGTAGTTTTATCGGCTCTTAATAGTATGACTTTATTTGATGTCATAAAGGTTAGAATACACTGAGTAGCGAAGCGATGAAACGACAAACATTTAACCGTATGGTAAAGTCTTTGTAAATTAAAAATGAATCCTGAATCAAGCTTGAGAATTTATAAAAGTTCCAAGTAATTTTTCAACTTTTACGTTAAAGTTAGTCATAGGTCCAGAGTACAGACACTTCGAGGCAAAACTTTCCTTTTCGCTGATTTATATTTATTAAATAGGCTTGCTTTATAAACTCCATTCGACAACCTTCTTTTTGCTGTCTTGAATACTATCTTATCTCCTACCGACAACTAAAATCACTGCATGAATAGTTTCATTTCACAACAGTGTTGTTTAGATTTTTCTTTGTGGTTTCCATTTAACGTAAGCAGTATTATAATGATCAATGGCGTAAGTTAGTCTATATTTTTATATTATATTTCTCAGTTTGGTTGCTGTATATATTTCGGTAATTTATTTAGCCAGCGACTTCACCCGCGTAAAATTTAGTATTTTGAGAACCAGGAACCTTACATTTTTTCGCGATAACAAACTATTATATGTCTTAATCCAGGTCATAAACTATATGCGTACCAAATTTCAACCAGTAGTTCTTGCGTGTATGAGTAACAAACACACAAACTTTTAAATTTATAATAATAGTAGAAAGTAGGATAGTAATAAGAGTGTTGGTAAGACAAAATACCACTCTTAACCCGAGGCTGCTAAGGATTCTGCAGGGGTAACCGTACAACTAGTTGCTTGATGAGTATATTATTTGGCGATCAAACTCACCTCCACTTGAACACTGGCGGCTCTGTAGGCTCTGTCAGCAGTATTTTGAGCCTGACACGTGAAGGTCTGATTGTGATGCTCTTTTTTTGGTGTCATGTTGATGATTGACCTGTGGGCAGAAGGTTAAAGTTAGATTTGAGATTTTGACGACCTCCGTGATCGAGGGGTTTGTACGCCGGGTTTCATGGTGTCGCCGACTCGAGAGGTCCCGAGTTCGAATCCTGGTAGGGGCAGATGTTTGTGTGATGAATACGAGCATTTGTACTCCAGTCATGTCATTCATACTTATATATGCATGGTATATGTGTTCTATCCGTTACCCTAGTATCCCATAACACAAGCCTTATAGTGCTTACTTTGGGGCTAGGCTAATTGGTGTGAGTGTTGGAAATATTTATTTATTTATTATTTTATTTATTATTAGATAATAATCATTAAACACATTGTGGCTCAAATTATTGAAGAAGAAAAATATGTAACGTCAAATTTTATTTTCCAGGTGTGCTTCATAAATTGATATCAGTGAGAGAATCTTAAAGTGTCCTTAAAAATTGCTTAGGTAGATACATAATGTCTCTGCTTAGCCCGATGGTTGACTGGTAGAGAATGCCATGTGGCATTAAGTCCGCCATTTGTTACAAAATAATAAAGAGTAAATAAATAAATAGGTAGGTATTAATATCTAAAATAGTTTTTGGGAAATTTAAAAATCAAATACTGCAAATAAGTGCAATTCAAAGTAGAAATTTATTCTATCAGCATATTACTCGCAGGTGACCCATTCTATATTTTCATTGCCCCAGATCTAGCTTGCAGTTTCACAGTTATTCATTGGCAGTTTTAGTCGTATTAATATTGCCACACTGAGTAACAGGTTTTCTCTACAGAAAGAAGCACATAAAGCGAACGGTCCAGGTCCAGTCCGGAAGTATAATACGCAGGCGGATTGATGGATGTTTAATTATGGAAATGCAGCTGAGAGCAATAACTAAAAGTGACTTCCGAATCATGAAGGAGCTCGAGATAAAACATTTTTGGTCAACTTATACCAAGCAATGGCGTAAATTGCTTTATTCTTCCAGAATAATAACAGAACGGTCTAATCAAATAGTTATAGAACTCTATTATAAAAATATCTTTTTACGAGAAATCTTGTTAATAAAATTTCAGAGGGACAGGAAAGAAAATGAACAGCGTTATAGTTATGATCATTGTAATACGTACAAATAATATTATATAAACAGAGAAAACACCTTGATCAAAAGAGCTACATATAAATTCCACAGCTATATTTGACATAAAATTCTGTAACAGGTTTCCAGTAACTGGTATTATTTCTACATCAATACTTGAAACAGACATACCAAATATTATTATTTACCTTGCCGTAAACCGCTGTCCGTCCGGCAATGGCTCCACAGAATACGTTACGCCTTGTGTCAAAACACCGGCGTTGCTGTCAACCCACGTAATCTATAAAGAATGTAATGATGTTATTACTGGCTATTATATTACACTGTGGTATAATGTGTCTGTAAGGTTGCACGCTCAATGATAGCGGAAGCGGTAACGCTAGATTAGAAGCGAAAACGATAAGTGGTGGGGAGTTACCAAAGCTCGCGCGGGTCGCTTGGCATGAAAAAAAAAACAAATTATACAAAAATCTAATGAAAAAAAACCAAAACAATTAAAATAATATATATATATATATATATATATATATATATATATATAAGAAGAATACTCCACTAATGTCCGTCTGTCCATCTGTCACCAGGGTATTTATTTAAAGCTGGCCGTTTAATTTACATTCCCAACTAGCAACATCGCAATCAAATAATAATACATACATATACTCATTAAAAAAAACAAGATCACTATTTTTTAATAGGGTAACTTTTTTATATGTATGATTAGCTGAACATTGCATATAGAATTTTTAATTACATTCACTGTAGCTAAAATCCGAAGTTTTCATGTATTTAACGCCCCGGGCGCTGCACTAATTGTGAGGTGATGCTAATCGCTTCCGCTATCATAGAGTTCACAACCTTAATGTATCGAATAGATTCGTGAAGCAGTTTCATTAAAAAAATGAAATGTTATATTTCGTATTATCGTATTTTAATAGCTTCACTTTACATTTTGAACATTATGGGATTTCACCACACGTTAGATATCGACTGACTATCAAAATACAAATTATATCGACAACTTTTGTTAGTGAAAATGCGATAAACTGTCAACAATATTATCATTACTACGGCAATATTATTCATGTATAAAATTTTAAATTTAATCAAAAAGTATGTCAGACCGATACTTAGTTCGATGCATTAGTGTGCAACAACCTTAAATTTTTCTACTGTCGTAGCAACTTCGAAATTCAATGCAAGCAACCTAGCCACTAGGCAACTCTATAAAATGGCGTACATTGTACGTACTCGTACGCGTACAGGTTGACGTATATTTGAGTAGACGGGTAAGGCACTAAAGCCAAGTAATAAAATGTTACACCCATTCCAAGCACGGCTATGTATCTACTTCATTCCATCATTCGATCGGGCACAACGCCATCTAGAGCGAACACACTAAACTAATCTAATGAATCACCGAGCTCCGTGTACACCCTTAATCTGGCAACCACAATTGTATCCATACAGTATTCAGTGCACAATATAAATCGGACGTTGATGTGAACAGTGGCGTAAATCTCGGTGGATTTAAGCAAGCATTGTTCCAAATATTCTGTAACAAAGTGAGAAATTCCTCCGAAGGAAACCAACAGAACCTTCCCACTTAATCCCTGTGCCATTTGAGTTTGCTTAGTAACGTCATTGTCATTTTTACCATTGTTCGAATGTGGAACGAGATTTGTTAATTAAATTCATAGTGGGGATCTCGCTTTAATTAAATTTAAGCTTATGATAGGTAAATCTGAACTACCGTTGCCATCATCAGTAGTAAAATTGAGCAAAGGAAACACAAACAGAAGGGCGAATCCAATTTCAGGCAAATCTATTCAACTTACAACAGAAATTGGATTGAATAGAGCTTTAAATAAAACAAGGCTCAGTAAAATTCTATTGTATTGGAGTTGACAAATTGAATTATCATGATGTCATCTATATAATTCTCGATATCTCAGAAAACCGTGCAATCATTTTTAACAGCATCATCCATCAAACATAACATAATTTAAATTAAATAAAAATAATGTAATTTAATCCAATAATACTAAATCATGATAAGGTAGAACTAAAAGCCGTGAAATATTGAAAAAAAAAATGGCATTCGTCGACAATTCATCCCGAATTCCTTACCTCGGCCGGTGGTTTCCCGCCAACGGACACACATTCCAATTTGATCATTCTGTCTTCGGACGTAGAGTAGAAATCGCCTTCTAGGATTTTGGGTGGCTCCGGTGGAACGAGGACCGTAAGCTGGGCGTATCGTGACCTAATTGCCGGCTCACCTGTTCAAAAGGTTTAATTTCAGTATAGTGTTACGCTTAGAGGCGAAAGTTAATTAAATTGTATTTTTTCTCTCAGTCGTCCGTATTTTTTTACGGTAATAATAATTGTCAAAGCGTCGGTCTATTCGAAGTCTTTTATTACATTATTTCTCTTTGTATCTTAGATGAAACGAAAGGTTTTTTGTAAAGACTAAACTATTTTCAGGTAAAAAAACACTCTTTAATAAATTGCTCAAACTCTAAAATAGATGTGAATAAACTCCTCAAGAAGTAATATTCTGAAATTCGGGCAGGTACACGCAGAGATCTGGATTTTTTTTAATTTAGATAAAAACACTATTTCTTCGGATACTCTTTGATAAGTCATACTTCATCAAGCAAAAGACAAATAACATTGAAACATTGGCACACTTGCCAATTAATTGTATTCTAGTGCAAGACCAAAGTCACTTTGTACATCCGTACGTGGAATTAAGTTATGAAACAGTATCTAGGTAACTGTGATACGTTGCATATTCCAGTCTAGTTTGACGTCAGTATACAGAGTGACGTTTGAGCTCCAATCAAAGCAGTGCGAAGTTCAAATAACCAATTCAAACCAAACGTTAATTCACATGCATGGAAATGTACACCTATACTAATACACTTCACTTAATTCGTGTGAGTGAAAACACATTTGATTTCCACTAACAATAAGCATTCAAAGATAAAATATTGATTTTACGTTCATGTTAGATAGTTCTATATAAATTTATTGAGAGATATCGTACGCGCTTGGTAACAAGTCAAATATGTTATTAGAGGAAAGCCACGGCAATGTCTGAGAAAAAGTCAAATGGCTGCTGTTATCACAATTAATTTGGCGCAAATAATTCTACTACAGTACTTTTGAACTAAATCAAATTCAGAGAGGTGATTTATAGTATTTGACAAAATGGTGTCTTATGCTTTAGCTCTGAGGACATAGCGCACTCGACATTTTCTTCGCTATCAGCAATAAGTAAATAGACTTTCTGAAGTTCTCTTAAAACCCTCACTTGAAATTAAATATAGGTAGTTAAAAGCCAAGTAAACATTCTCTTCCGTGGTATAAAGAAATAAATGAATATATTGCTAACATACACCAATAAGCCCCAAAGTAAGCTCTGTAGGCTTATGTTATGGGTACTAGGGTAACGAACAGAATACATATACTGATACGTATATAACTATATTTATATAGAAATACATATTAAACATCCATGACTGAAGTACAAATTCTCGTATTCATCACACAAACATCTGCTCACACCGGGATTCGAACCCGGGATCTCGAGTAGGCGACACTTTGGAACCCGGCGTACAAACCACTCGACCACGAAGGTCGTCAAATTATATGATAATTTCATGTATAAAGAAAATTCATCATGCGGTAGTTTGGGTAGAGTTTCACAAAACTATTTCGATTCCACGGGCTTGTCCCTTTTGATGTTGAGGATTTAAATTAATAGAACTTGGGGAGATATAAAGACAATGAAAATCTCGAGAACCCAAGAGTAGTTTCCCATACAGAAAACTTTTGGTTTCGAACTAAGTTTGAAAGTTAAATAGTCCTAAGTTTACAGTTTTGCCGCAAGGTAGTTGTCCATTGTGCTTTCAGCTTGATAAAAAAGAAAGTTTCTCCTTCTCACTTGTTCCATGTAAATCGTTCGTTTCTTCTTCTTGTTGCGAACTCGCTTGTCTGGTTTGAACCCTAGATAAAAATTAAATCTCATTCGCATTAACTTAGATAAGTGCGACTGCAGTTGGATTTTTCTTTACAATTATGAAAAATTTTGCTTTTTTTTCTAGGTTGCTTTAGTTATATCACTTTATAAGGTCTTTCTCTCGTATTAGTATATTTTTATTTTATGTACAGATAGATTTATGATGCTTCCTTGTTTTATAGTCGCTTCGTTTTTTTGTTAACTTTTATGAATTTTTCATAAGATTCCTAAGAAGTTATAAATTTTATTTGAATAATATTTTCTATCTCCAGGTATTGTAAAAAAATATTAGGCAAGTCAACATTGTGTATGAGGACACCTTTGTCATTAAATTAATTTTACAAATATTTAATTCCATTGGAATGTTTAACACAAAAGTGAATGGCTTTTGCTCCTTATTGATAAGCGAAGAACAACCTTGAACTACTTATGCGGTGTTTGTTCATGCTAGTAAAAAATTTTTTTTTTGTTATACGATGAACACGGGAAAACACAAAATAAATAATTATATACTCCATTTATTAGTAAGGCCACGAATTTATTAGTAAGTATTCGAAAGTCTGGCTCTTACGGTTTTTAAATTTAATCTGCAGATAAAAAAAATCTTGGAGAAGAAAAAATAGATTTGGAAATGTTAACAGAAAAAATATTTTGTAAGAAGCAATATTTTAATTTTTTACATAAAATCACGGACACTACAGCTACTTAGCATAAACTGTTAACATATTTCTATAAAGATAAAAGATAAACTAATTAATGTACAGAGACAAGAGTAATTGAAGTAAACACGCGTTTAAATTTAATATATTCCTCCAGAATTCTCGTAGAATAATTTAACACCTGTTCACTTATTAGGCGTTAGTCACACACCCTTTGCTCTTACAACCAAAAATGATTTACATAATTATGTCAGACGGTCTCTGTGCAAATAAAACCAGTTTGCAAAGGATCTCTATATGTATTTTAGACCGGAAAGCCGTCCCTACAAGCTTATGATTAAAGACCGTAACCTCGAAGATACGCCACCATACAAAATATAATGGAAGTCTCAAATAACAAGCAAAATCAACTTTTTAATCTTAAAATCTCAGAAGTGAAACGCTAAGTTAATTTGGAGCCGAAATGAGATCAAATTTACTTAATGGCTTAAGTATAACGATCAAAGAAATTTCTACGGTGGGTAAGGCCGATTACTTAAGAAATACAAAGTTAAACCTAAATCTTGAAACAAAAGCTAAATGGGCCATAAGAGCGAAGCTAAGTCAAGATAAGAATATTTCACCAGCAGTTTAAAGACGAGGAGAATTTATCAAAAGGTTATGTAGACGTTTACTCCAACAAAGGACTATGTAAATTAATTTCATGGACCTTTTCGTTTGCATCTGAATAGAGACATTCGTGAGACCGTAAGGATCGAAGGCCTCGCAATTCTAAGACGGTTTATTATAAATTCACATAAATGTCCTTTAATATTATAGTCCAGAAATTAATTTAATTGGAAAGGTCAAATAGGTCGAGAACGGGAAACAATCCCATTGATATGACTTGAATAGGAACCGTCCTTTGGGAGTACGACGCCTCTTCAGATATCGAATATTTTCATATCAATAACAAACGTATGGCTGAAACCTTTTAGAAAGGAAAATCATAAGCCCCATTGAAAGAATGAGCAAAGAACAAGACGAAGAAAAACAACCCAAATAAATATGAATGTATATCTTTTGAGAGTAACTGTGCTAAAATTATAGACATAGCCTTAGATATTCAGCGAAGTATTGAATAACGTAAAGTGAAATTAAAATCGGAGGCCAGTAAGAATATAAGAAAAAGGAATTTGAGAGGAAAAGGGTGCGAGAGAAATTAAAAACAAATTATGTTGCAAAGCAAACAAAACTTCTATTGTGTTGTGCAAAAAAAAAAGAAAAAAAATAGGCCTACCTACATCCAAATGTAGGAAAAAGTGAGGCGAATAAAAGTAAGTACAAAATGGAAGTAATACATTTATGAAAAATCTTTGAAACCAGCAGTGCTCTTCTATAAAAAATTCACGCGTGAATCTGATGTGGATTCGCGCAGTACCGAAATGAATCCGCGCGGATCCACATCGGATCCGCACATGAAAATTTTACAGAATAGCACTGGCAGTATATTACAATTTTTTTAAGATTAATAAACTCAATTTAATTAAAAACTCATTTTTTACATTTAATTACAAAGCTTTTATATTTACTTTTAAATTCACTAAAATAATACCTTATTAAGAATGAAATTTTGTGAAAGCATAAAAGTTTAGATTTGAATTTAAAAATAAGTTTAACATGACATATTCTATACTATGTTTATATAGTGATTTACAGTTAACTTGTGTTCATAATACACACCATCGTTCACTTTATAGCACGCAATAATAGTACTTTACTTAATGTTGTAATCAGATTCGACACATGGAGTGCTTATAAGCTAATGTATTTAGCGTGGTAAGTAATCAAAGGCCACTCCTTGTATATCATAATTTTCATATTACGCACTCGAGTGAAGTGGAACAATCGATATAATTTAATACGAAACTGTTTGAACAAGGGAGAGCTACGAAAGTTTCATGTAATAAATGAATTACATGCGTCGCGGGATCGTGGGATCCGGTTGCGTCAAGGGTATTAAATTACATTTATCTCAAAAACCGTTTTGTAAATTGGGGATTTTTATCGAGAGGAGATTCTCTTACAGATTATAAATGAGGTCTACCAGTAAGATCAGTGAGAAACGGCTCGGGATAAATGTTTTTGTAGTTCAACTTTTGGTTTCTGATAACAGATGAATTGGAACCCACGAAAATGCATGGAGATAATCGAAGTATGCGATAAATTCTGAACTATTGATTAGAATTAATAGGGTATTAAAACTAATCACAAAGCATGATATTCTAAAAGGATTTTTTGAAAGTGTTTTCGGTGTTCATAATTTCAATTAGAATAATTCTAAAGTTTATTTTATAACGATATAGATCATTGTAAAATAAAGTTTAGAATTATTATATTATATCGTAATGACTCCAAGAAATTCTGCTTTTAGATAATTAAACTTTTTAACAAAAAATTAAACCGCCGATAAGTAAAAAACATTAAACCTTTTTTATCTTAAGTCAAATTAATATTTGGAGTCGGTGCCAGTGCCAGTGCCAGACTAATCCAAGTAGTAAATGTGAACTCAGATCTATCAGACCTGCATGACACCGACTCCAAATATAATATAATT